CGAGGCCAGGGTTAAAGGAGACACTGCTCCCATCCCACCCCTTTCTGCTCTCCCGTTGGAGTGACCAGCTGGCACAGCCCCACGGCCAGTCCAAACCAAGCAGCAGCATCCGCTGGATTGCAGGCACCATCCTCTTTCTGCTCCTATGCTGCTGGCCTAGAAATGCTGGCTTTGCAAGGCTTAAACAGTTTTCCTCATTGCTTTTTTGATAAAATGATAAGCTTTTCATCTGTGTTTTAAAATAAGCCCCAAGTCCTTAAGCTTTCTGAGGAGGGGAGAGAGGGCAGGGGATCCTGTGCTGCACGGCCATGGTGCTCTGTGCTGTCCTCCCTCCAGCTTCATCTTCCCATGCCGTCCCCATTCTCCCCGGCACAGCCTGCCTCTTCCCTGCGGCCGGGCGCAGTGACCGTGGAGGTGAGCAGAGGAGCCCTGATCCCCAGGGACATGTCACAACTGTGCAAGCATCCGAACCACCTTCTCAGCCCCAAGCTGAGGCAGCATGGGGAGAGCAAGCACCTGGCTCTGCAGGTGTGACGACTGCTCCATGTGAATGGGATGTGAGTAAGAAGCACTGAAGAGGCATCTTTGCAACCCTTCTTGGTGCAGTTACTGCAGCTCCCAGCTGGGACAACGTTGTGCTCAGAGTGCTGCCACTGGGGTTTCTCTCTGTGGTAGCTGCAGGACTGCTCTGATTTTTGGTTGTGTGCTGCTCTCGCCTGCTTTGGGCTCTCGGGGAAGCTACATTCTAATGCTTCTCTCACTGGCTCACTCAGGGATGAGTCTCCCTGGGGAGTCCAGCTTATCATAGGCGAGGAGGGCTCTTATGTGACATCCTGGATTAAGTTTCTCAATAGCTTGTTTGCCTTCCCCACGCTCCCTCTAGTTCAGAGAAGGTGGAGTTCCTGTGAGAGAAGGGAGTGTGGCCGGATGTCCCGGAGAATCCTTCCAGCATCTCTTTCCGTTCCAGACGCTCTTGTCTGGAATGAGGGAAATGGTTCAGCTGATTTAGATGACACTGACCATGAGTGACATGCTGTCTTTCCAGATAACAGTGAGCCGAGTGCCCATGTGTTAACAAATGTTAGCTTTGGAAATGCCGTCTTGGAAAGAAATGCTAGATAGGGGCTGCTCCACCAAGGGTTCCCACCAAGCTGCTTTTTTCCCCTGAGCATCACATGCTTTGTTGACTTTCCCTGAAAGCCTCCCCTTAGTTTAGCGAGAATATTTGACCTCTTAGAAAAGAGGATCTCAAGAGATTGGGAAAAAAAAAAAGAAATGCTGACCATCGTATGCGTGCTGAGTCTGTACACTTGAGGGTCACTGAGTGGACACCAAGCAAAGCTGTTTAATTAGTTTGCATGGTGCAGTTGAAGAGAAGTGTCACTGACCTTGAAGATTTCTGTGGTACTGGGGTAGCACTGACATTCCCATACACAGAATCCTCCATCTCCCCAAACCCTTCAGAGCAACAAGCAGCCAGAGATAGGTAGAAGTGACCCTTTCTCCCTGTTCTGGAGCAGCGACTGCAAGAAGAAAGCTCTTGCACAAAAGGTGACAGGGAGAAGTGTCTGTGGAAGAGAAGGAGCCCTGTTCACTCTGCCCTTAGGGCGTTTGTCTGGAGCCCGGCTTCCGTAAGCTCTGCCCTTGTCACATCCTATAAGTGAGTGACGCTGGGTGGCTCAGTTGTGGGATGGGAGCTTCCACATGAAGCAGTGCCACATCTCTGCTGACCTGCCTGCGGCTGCCCTCTCACCACCTTCAAAACCACCTCGTACAACTCTAGTTTCACTTCTTGCCTCACTTTTTTTTTCTTCCACATAATAATTGCAAAAATTGCACAATTTCTCATTTCCCATTTTACTTTAAGGAAAATGCGTGAGCTATTTAAATGTGATCATTAAGACTGAAACTGCGGTTCTGTGGGTCAGGGAGTTTATAGTTGAGTTTCCCTCAGCTGTGCTATTCTGTCTCCTCATTTTCATCCAAGATTGCATACTGCTCAGTAGTGTTGAGAGCGGTGGCCCAGGAAGTGTGCCTGTGAACCCTGTTGTACCTCTTGGTTGCTCTCTTGGAAGAGTCCTGGACATTGTTGTACACAGTGCTTGGAGTCAAAACTCAAACCAGCTGTAAAGGGCCACTAAATAGGATGGGTAACAATTGCACAGGCCTGTTCTCGCTGCAACTAGGACCCAGGGTGTGCCAATCTGCACATCTCCTCCTCAGGGCCCTCTTTGGGGGAAAGTGGCAGAGAGGAGCAAGCTGGAGATACAAGGAACAGCAGCAAGAATCTCCTGGCAGCTCCAGGCCCCTCATCCTGTAGCCTTCCATCCACATCTACTCGCTTCCGTGGCTCCTGCCATCGTTGCATCTGCTGCTGCCACGGCACTAGACACGAGCCAAGTTGGCTGTTCCTCGTCTGAGGCTCTGACCCACCTAGAATCTCTAGAGTGAAGGGTCTCTCTGCCTTGCGCTGCTTGGCACAATGTTCAACGGACTCTTGGGTGCCGTCATTATAATTGCAGTAATTACCATAGCAAATAAACCACTGGTGTTGCCTCTCTTAGGTGGCTGATCCCTATCTTTTATGAGAAGGTGTGAATCCAGGCTTGGGGCTATGGCCAGGGCTGTGTATTAGACACTCATTTATTGAAGAAGTTCTTCTTATCCACGTATTGAGCCAAAAAATAGACACTCATTTATTGAAGAAGTTCTTACCCA